CTGAAGAGTTCCAACGAATTAACTCTGCACTACAAGCGTTCAAAGAAGAGGTTGTCAAAAGTCTCAAAAAGCTTGAAGAGGGCCAGGAAGATCTTAAAGAGGGCCAGAAAGAAATGAAAACAATGTTAAGGCAGCTATTGCAAGTACAACATGGGTTTGAATGATTTGAAGGCACAGCTTAAACAATCCTCAATAAGATCGTGAATATGCTGGAGGTAACTCTTTATTAATAATGACAGGCAAAAAAAGATCTTAAAAAGATCTATACTAGCTGTCCTGCTTCATTCTGATTTATTGCATTCTATTTTCAAAAACATTCTTCTATTGGGTTGCTTTCCAAATAGTCCATTTAATCGTAATTTTTCCATGATTATGAAATTTAAACATGAATTTTACGCTGATTTTACTATTCGAAAGTGCCTATTGGTCAGAAATCAGTCAAATCGATTAATCTGTACCAATTGCTTCCTCGCTTCCCTTACACATTATAACCAATAATATTATTTGATACTACATTGCATTGCATTTAGATCACATAATAGTTATAGTACTTCTTACTTAGATTAATTAACCCAGCCATTCGAAATCGAACTCAGTTAGTGACATTAGCAGTCAATCAATCAATCAAATTATTACTAATCGTCAATTAAGGGTAGACATTTGATAACTTTTTGTTATTATTATTACATTTGTTAACGAAGTTCGTGGCTTGGTTGCATATATCTTTGACCTATGAAATTTATGATATTTTTCGGTATATTTAATTTGTAGGATTACGTACGTTTTAATGCAAGCAGTATCATTTTCTTTGTTTGAAGGGCTTGTCCACTTTCAATTTCATTTGGGGCCATTTTTTCAACCACCCCTGGAATAATCAAATGATCTTCCTTCAGTGGTGTCAACCAATAATCGTGGTTTTAACAGGGTTTATACTGAACACACACGTTATCACAACCCTCAGTAGAATAGAGCAAATCGGCTAACGCGTTAATTGCTTTGTACGTTACCACCCAATTCAAAACCTGCGGGAAAAAGAAGTTTTGTTTCTAAGAATTCAACTGTGAAATGAAAATACAACGAACAATGAAACTTACTCCCGGGTGGTTTGAATTGGGTGGAAACGTTTATAGCAACGCTCTAGGCAATTAGGTCTTTTTAGTTCTAGTGTCAATTATAGTTGAATATTAGTGAGACTAAAGGCTAGTAGCCACAGTCTGAATTTATTGTTTTGTTTTGATCTATACCAACAAATACTACCCTGGTTCCAGAGGCTTGTCTTCTATTATTTGCTTACTACGTTATCGAGCCGCGAAGCGGCGAGACGTTTCCGTAAATCTGACTTTCATGCTGTATTCAAGCTAACCAATCACACATCGGAGTGTTGTAGCTGTCAAACATGTCAAATAAATTAACCAATAAGAGTTCATCACAGATAACAGATCATATTACTCTGATCTGTGATTGGTTTGCTTAAATACAGCATGAAAGTGAGATTTACTACGCTTGTGACCAGAGGCTTGGCGAAAAAAACGGAAACGTCTCGCCGCTTCGCGGCTCGATAACATAGTAAGCAAAAGAATAAAAGACAAGCCTCTGGAACCAGTGTAAACAAATACTAACTATAACTAACTTTTCATTGCACAGTAGTCAAATAAAAACAACATACAGTTTAAGATTGTACTAGGAATTACTCATTGCAATTTTATAGAGAAGACAGCATGAGAGAACACTGCACTGTCATATTTTTTGTCCTGTGATAAAACATATAGGCATCTCCTAGAGGGCTTAGAGCAATTTTGTATATGTTATATATATAGTGCAGTGTAATATTAGATTTGAAGAATTGTTTTTTACATATAATAATAAACCTATTTTGCTACTATATTACTACAAGTTTTAACGTCGTTACCCCAAAGTTACACGATACCGTAACATTTAAGCGTATTTTTGAATGTCAATAATAACTTCAAATTTTCTAGAGTTATGCAGGACGCCTTTTAGAAAATCATTGTTTTCCTAAAGGTAACATTTACTAACAATTTCTATAATAAAAGATATCATTTTGAATTGTATTTTTTTGCAATCTAGAAAATTGAAAATGCAAAATGAAGTGATGTCAACTAAGGAATTGGCTTAGACTTTCTAACTTGTTTGTGTTAAGTACGAACCTACGACTTATAATGGGATTTTGAACCACTGCTTCAAATCCTACAACTTGTTTTAGGAAAATCGTATACTACAAGTCGCATTCGTACAATCGTACCGTGTACTTGAACAGTCAAAACTTGCAAATAAAAAGCAAAAAATATCTAATTTTTTATCCATATAATGGATTCCGCAACAGCCTCCATCATAACATTGAACGTGCGTGCCTCTGAAATCGAGTTTGGGTACTTGGCTTGTCATCCATTGACAGTCTCCCTCTAACTTTACTCTTTCGTGATATTGCATGAACAATCTTTCATTAGTTGACGTCACTTCATTTGCATTTTCAACTTTCAAACGCTTTCAGACCAAAGGATGTAAATTCGAAACAACTTTTTGATAATTTTCTGAAAGGCGTCAATTAAAGATCGATATAGTTGTGCAAAAGAGAAAAAAAGAAAGAAGTAGAAATAAAATTAAAGTCGACATAAAATACAAATGACCGACGTCTTCTTCTTCGTTTTTATTGAGCATGTTCCCATAGTACACAACCATCCAAAACAAGACCCAACATTGATGAAAGGGGGCTAAGGGGGAGAACTGTGAAAAATAAAGGAGAAAAATGTTTGGATGGAGACTAATAGTTTAAGTGTCCAAGGTTTTTTGGTAACGATTGTAGTTCCCTGCATATATATCGAAAGTCAATAATTGAATCATGTTTTGTTAAGGTTGTAACTAGCCCGATGATGGTTTTGTAATAAAACCGATGCCCATTCGATGTTGAACATCATCTAGGAATATGAAATATTCGGTGTTACACTCATTAGGTAAGGCTAAGGCCACGTTTAAAACGTAATCAAAAGAAATATTCCTTGTACGGTTCCCATATATTTGCTATACGGGGACGTGCCGCTGGCCAGGGTATGGTTTTTGGCCTTGCTGTTTTAAACAGGGTATACATTTCACCCGAAATTGTCTTGAACAGGCTCTACAATTTAGATAAAAGACCGATATAATTTTTTTGTGTGTCTTGGACAGGGTAATATTTTCATAAAAAACACCGTAGAAATAGTAGAAATACCGTTTCACTGTCCCAGGATTAACGTGTTATCAGAAAACTTCTTATTGTCTTTGATGGATGTCAGTATAATTGCAGTTTCGATGGTTGCGGCGAAGATATAAAAGATAGCTATTTCTTATTTTTCCGATTTGTCTCGAACAGGGTATGAATTTTTGCTTTTAAGTGTCTTAAACAGGGTCAGGGATTTAGACCGCTGGCGGCACATAAGATATTCCAGGGTTTTACAATTCTGTTAAAGAAGGAGGACTGGTAGGCAGTAGTTCTGCAGCGCGCCAGTTTAAGCACTAGTGAGGGATTCTGTGGGCGGGATCGGCCAGTGTGGGACAAATGACACAAATCAGTTGATGTCTAGATTTGTGTGTCCATAGATGCATTTGTAGACGAATACTATAAGTCTCTTCGCTCTCTATCGTAGACAAGAGGTAATAGATGCAATGTTCTCAAACGTTCTTTGTAAGATGTTTCCCAAACGCTTTGCGAGAGTATCCATCGTGTAGCGCGGCGTTGAACCCTCTCTAACAGTGTTGTAAGGTGAACGGTAGCCGGAGACCAGGATCTTAGGAACTTAGGATCTTGGGAACTTAGGATACGGGGAACTTAATATCTTGTGATGTCCCTTAGAGGGCTCCATTAATTTCTATAGGAACCTTTCTATAAGAACCTGTTTCAAAATTTAGGCTAAATAGGTTCTTATGTAAATGGGGTCGAAATTGATATTTTTAGGCTAACAGGTTCTTAAATTGCAGGTTCTTATAAGCGGGTAAGTACTGTATATCCCCTGCTTCGCCCGTCTTCATAGAAAAAATGACAAACACCCACTACACAAGGCTTAATCCAATGATGATGCAAATGAAGAAAATGACGAAAATGTCTGCAGGAAACCCTTAACCGGTAATCATGGTCAATCTGACTGCACAGTTGAAGTTTCCTGCTGAAATATGGTTTAGATTTTCAGCCAAATTTCTATTTATCCCAGGATTGGAGGATTTGTGCAATCAAAGTCATTTCTTGGGCTCCCTGTTTTGTTTCATCTTGAAATGCGGAAGACTGGGGTCGATCGAATGTTTCTTTTGTTTACTTCCGGAATATGGGAATTTCACGGAACTTATTTAATACCAAATTCGGGGAATCTTCAACGGCGTGGTCATCAAAATGTAAAATGACAGTATATTGGTAGGAAAAAGGCTTTGAAAATGTAGGATTAAAGGAAAATAGGTGAATTTTCATCGGCTTGAATTTTTAATATGGCTGAAGCAGCACTTGCTCTGCAAGAATCACCCGACACAGAACGGTTCCAACGTGTCGCTGTACTGCTCGTACGTGGAGGAACAATCATTATTCGTGGATTGTTTGACAATATTCATCCTCCTTTGACGCTTGTACGTGCATTAAAGATTCATCGAGCTACATTAGATGATTTGAGAAGAAGACGAATTTTGAATTCTGATCAGTGGAAAAAGTTGTTTCCTTCTCCCGATGCTTATGGACAGACCAAAGATTTTGATTTGACTTTGATTTTCGTGTTACTGAGAAATATTTGTAATCTTACTGAACCGGCTAATGGATGGAACAATTTGCCGGCGAATATTTCCGACATCTCTCTTGAAGATGATTTGGCGCGAATCAAATATCATCGTAATAATACGTATGCCCATACTATGGACGGTCAACTTTCTGAAGATGAGTTCAACGAGTGTTGGGACGAAATATCAGATGCTTTGCTGAGAATTTTAACCTTTTATGATACTCCAGAGTCTGTCAGGAATTGGGAAAAAGAAATAAAAAAGCTTCGACGTGGTCCTATTTCTTTAAAAGACATCCAGGCGTGGCTAGCTGGATTTCCAAGTAAGTTAAAATTGTTTCCATTTAAACCCCGGGGGAAGAGTCCTTAATATCAAAGGAAGGAGGTCCTCGGCGCCCCTTTTAGGGTTTGAAATCGTATTTTGGTCCCGGTTAGGATGATAATGACAAGAATTCCGATCCCTGGCACCAACTGAGTTTTGTGACAGACCTGTTATTGGTTGGTCCCTTTTAGGGGTGAAATTTCAGCACTGCCACGCCCATCATCTCCAAATACAGGTCCCTCTTAGGGGTCATTTTCAGAATTTCCACCAAGGAGCCCCGCCCTTTGATATTAGGGAGTACGAAATTTCACACCTAAGAGCGGCCAATCAATCAACAGGTCATTTTGTTTTGGTTTCTTGATTTTATTTGTGTTTTTGTGTGTCAAATGCCATCGGCTTGTATTGAGATCAATCATATAATTAGAATAATTGGAATTCTTGTCTTTATCACCCTATAAGCGGGACCAAAACACTGATTTCAAACCCGACGAGGACCACCGCCCTTTTATATTACAGGTGGGGAATGGGGGGGGGGGGGGCATCTTCACCAAAAAGAGAATTTGAGTTGTATATAGAAGAATACATAGTAAAGTTCCTGGCATATAGGGTTGCCAACTATTCTTTGGTTCATTCACAAGAATTGTAGATGAGGCGATCCAGGCAAATAAAATCCAATGTTTCCCCAGAGTCTCTCTGATGTCACCTATTTTTTGTTAATTAATTTTGTGTTTGAATGCTCAGCAATAATTTTCTGATGGCAAAAAAGACATTACTCTAGAGTGAACAGAAAAGTTACTAAAATTTATTTTCTTTTAGATATGATAATAACTTGCTCATTCAAGATACCAGGATATATGGGAGATGTTGCAAGTCTGGTT